CTAGCTGTTATATGTTTTACGCCATCTAATTACAATCCAGCTTCTTATTTTATTGTTACTTTTACTTTAATGTCTAGAACGTTTCTATTACGTACTTTCTATTATGTGTCTTCAGGCTTGTTTTCGCTTGGAATGCTTTCGCTAAGCGAAACAAATATTACGTTAGCAGTATTACAAGTTAGATGTAACAAAAAATGGAACTGATTTGTGAAAGTCTTGGGGAGAATATTGGTTGTTATGTCCCACAATAGAGAGTATACGAAACGGCGCGTGCGCTGAATATTCTGATTTTCTTCCATTTAGAAAATTGGTTTCGAAATTCTCCGTAGCACGGATCTTTGAATCGTGCCCGGTAATAGCTTCGTCTCTGCCTACCTCTTCAGAGAATCACAGGTATTGTAGTGTTGTTAGAAAGCTGTTTGCCTTGTTGATCTAATGGTCGAAAGCATTATGTCTTGAGTTCAATTTCTAGCAACGTGTTGAGTTTTTCAGTTCCATTATTTGTAAAGTTTGTATGGTGAATAATCACAGACTACAGACAAGGGTGATATACCTCTAATTATGGCTTTAGAAAAACAATATAAAACATTTGACAGCTGAATGCTGTATCATAGTTGTTGTTAGATCTAGTAAGTATAGAGCCACAACGATTTTTGCGGTCGACTGTGGCGCTAGTGTCGTATTAGAGTACTTTTTTTGTAAGGGCTTCTATTAGTTCCAATTCCGGCCGCTTGTTCGGTTAACTTTGTGGAACTATAACAAGATCGATTTGCCGTGTGCTTAGTCATGGCGATGTAATCATATTTTGCAATTATTAAATGTATTATTAATAAAATGTTATGGGTAATAACTAAGCAAAAGAGTTTCCGACAAACATTGCTAAATAATTATAAGTAATAAAAGATCACTTGGACTGAATTTAAAATGGTCGTTACGCATATCGATGTTTTATAGATGAACTTGTAATGGGCAACAGGTGGTATATTTTTTGTTCAGTAAGGTAATACTGGCTAAGTGATTTTAAATGGGATCGAGGATAGAGACTTGTTTAGTAACTATTATTTTGCATTTTTGCTTGTTAATCAGATTATGTATTAATGTTAAAAATAAAATGAATGGAAAGGAAATGTCATTAATTACCTTTTAATAACTAAGTCTTAGTTTATTAACAAGAATGCAATAAGGACGTAATAATTATACCTTTTGTACAAGGGCATATTTTAAAGGTATAAAACAGCAATAAATATTAGTATCGTCATAAAACTGCATAACTAGGAGCTCATACCCTGTTTAGCACTTAGGAAACTAGTCTTAAGAGCACAGATTCTGTTATTTTTCTCGTCTATACCAATTTTTTTAAAGGGGGGATATTCAAATTGTTTCTCCCGCCCGGGTGAGGCGAGAGTGAGTGTCAGACTCTTACTGAGAAAAACCACCACGTTCCTACTCCTCTCCGAGTCGGAGCCCCGGCTGCCTGTTAGGTCCTCCGCGGCAGGCTTATGTTCACTCTGTATAGTATTACATAGGACTCATTAGCATCCTGCCATAGTTGGAACAGAGTGGTTTTAATCAGTAAGAGTCTGACACTCCCTCACGCCTCACCCAGGGAAGTAGGAGACATTAGATAATTTTTCGTCAAGACAAATAACGGCTATTATAAGGCTGTATGTACTTGTTCTATTACGGAAGGTCCGTAGTATCCATTACGTTATAGTCTTGCTAAAACATGCATGTTTCTTGTACATAAAGCTTCGATGTCTGATCACGGCGATTCATTCATCCATAAAAGACGATGGTGGTATAAAAAATTGATACGCGATACCGATCGGCGTTTCTTTTATCTCCAATGTATAGAAGTTTATTTTTACAAATTAATAATAAATTATTTATGAAAGGATTACTAATACCAGTTGCTCGTACGGTTGTCAACGAACTCAATTCATTAATGTTTTAATGTGTGCCAGACATACTACTACATTTTATTTTCCTTGTCTCATTTTCGTACACAATCGATAGGTGGTTACAAAATGCTATAATAATGGTGGAAAAAGCGTGTATCTGCAATTATTCAACAGAGAGTCAGAGAGTCAGTAAAGTCAACAGAGAGCTGTATGCCTATCTTTAAAAAATATAAAATACTAACTCTACCATCTCTATATATTCTTGAAACTGCGACTTTCGTAAAAACGAATCCTGATCTTTTCCCACGTCTGTCTGACACTGTGCCTCGGAATAGACGGGATAACAGCAGACTTCGCCTGAAACCCGCTAGGACTGCTCTTATGCACAAAAACGTTTTTTTGTATGGCGCCAATAATTTATAATAAAATTCCACGGGATTATAAATGTTTAAACACCAATATGTTTAAGATAAAAATGAGACGCTTACTAGCAGAAAAGTGTTACTACTGTTTGAATGACTTTCTGGCTGACACTACTTTTTGACACTGTATTAATAAATGTAGACCGTAATAATGTTTAATAATACTTTTTTGACATCTTAATATGAATTGTAATTATTATAAATTGAATTTGTACGCCCCTAAGGGCAAAACATGTATTGGACACTGATTTTAAACAATTAACATCTTGCATGCTTTTCAAATTCAAATTCAAATTCAAAGTCTTTATTGCTTCATGTGTGGTTACCAAGGTGTTATACATAATACATAAATTATTTTGGTTAAGCAGTATCAACATGACCCTGTAAGGGCGCTGCAATTTATATTAATTAATAAAAAAAAAAAAACACTACATCATTCAAAGATTTTACATAACATATTATTAAAGTATTACCACAATTGCTTCAATTGATTTTCGTTCATATTCTACATAACATATCTACCAACTCCTTATTTGCACAATTTTATTTATTCATTATCATTACCATCATTTTCCTTTTTATAGCTATTATTTTTATTTTTTTTTTTTTTAGTTTTGTTGTTTATTCTCAAAAAACTCTTGCAAACTATAATAGCATTTATCGATGAGATACTCATAAAGTTTTCTTTTGAAAGTAGTATATTTTGTTTCTTTTTTTATATTACTTGGTATTTTATTGTAAATTTTTATTGACATGCAATAGGGGCCCTTATGAAATATTGATAAGTTGGAGGTAGGAAGCGATAAGTTATTTCTATTTCTTAATTGACGGTCTTGCGAATAGTGGTCACGGTTACGACTAAAAAGATTAATATTTTTGTAAACAAATAGGCTCAAATCCAATATGTACAGAGAAGTCAAAGTGAGGACACGGAATGTTTTAAAGTGTGGTCTACAGCTATGTGTTCCCCCAACATTGGCCAGAATGCGAATGCATTTCTTTTGGAGTTTAAATATGTCATCTGCGTCAGTACTATTACCCCATAGTGCAATGCCATAGCGCATCCATGAGTGCGCATATGCATAATATGCAGTGAGGGCAGTTTTTTTGTCCGTTGATGTTTTCAGATGGTAAAGAGCGTAAGTGAATTTTGACAGTTTACTGCTTATGATCTGGGCGTGTGATTTCCAGTCAAGGTGACTGTCAATATTTAATCCCAAAAGTTTAAAGTTGTTTGTACTTTCAATTCTCTCATTATTAAACGCAAAATCAATAGATAGGTTTCGTTTTTGGTAGGGTTTAAACTGCATGAGTTTTGTTTTTGTGAAATTTACTTGCAAATTATGATCATTCAGCCAACTAGTTATATTTACAAATAAAGAATTTAATGTATTGTTTAGATTTTGTTCATTTTTACAAGGAAGTACAATTGATATATCATCTGCAAAAAGGGTACTTGTAGCATTAATTACTTTTGGTAGATCGTTTATGTAGATCAAGAACAGCAAACACCCCAACACACTTCCCTGCGGGATGGAATTCTGTACATCTATTACTTGAGATCTTACCTGGGTGATTCTGCCACTTTTGGAGTTATGGTGCTCAATTTCTACGTACTGGCTTCGATTGTGTAAATATGACTCAAACCATCTATGAACGATTCCTTTTGTATGAATGACACATGTTTATGCAAATAAATTATCTTTATCTTTATCTTTATCTTCATTGCTTCAATTCGTTCAATAGTCTAAGATAGTAAGAGGCTCTAAATGAACCATCTAGTTTCTTACTAATATAATCTTCCAAGATGATTGCTTAGCGATAAGCTTTTGAAAACCAAGCTCAGTAATGCTTGAATTAACTTGAAGCTCAGGTTTTCAAGTGAAACTCATCATGTACGTAAGCCTAATGGAGGCAATGACTTCATATCTTCAGTACTCACCCAGCGTTATTATGCCTAAGTGGGACGATGGGCTTCATGAACTAAAACTAGATACAGTACTGACAGACAGATAGACAAATGGACATGAATTGACAGCGAGAATCGATAATGTTTGAAGACTACGTACGCAGTCCATAGTTGAAACCAGTTTAGAGCTTCTAACTCCAACATAACGGATTGGCATCGCCGTACAGGCAATTAAGCAAATTGATTTTAATGCGATTCCAATAGTTTTGAATAATTACGGGACAAGATATGAGATAGACACAACTATTTGATGAATCTTATTTATGTTAGCTGTTGAGGTATTTTTCGATTTTTCGCGAATGATATTCAAGTTTGGAGTTTATTGCAAATATTTGCATGATATATGGATTTCGGATGTCGAGAATATTAAAGAAATCAAGATAGTAATGTTTGGCAACGGCATCGCTATCGTGTTTGCTAACGAATGGTAAACTGTTCGACAGGTTCTACTGTCATTAAGTTTAGAATGGATTCTACGAAAAATAAACTAGTACATATACTTCCGTGCACTTTTTTACTCTAGCGACAAAATAAAACACCATTTTTTCGACTTCATGTTCAGCTACTGTAACTTTATTATAAGTTTATTGAAATTGTGATTGTCAAAATTCACTCACGTATTTTTTTCTTGTCGTCATAAATCACACCATTATTGATTTTATTTAACTTAAAATAAAAGTTTCTTCAAATTGTTTCTCCTTGTTACAGATCAGCAATAATCATCGAGAATGATGTGGTCAGTGTACAAAGTAGCTGCACTAATACTGCTCAGTGCACTCAGCAAAGGACAACTGCCAGAAGATGACTTCAGGATAATCAACAGACAAGGTACTTAATTGTATAGAATTGTTCAAATTATCTACGTAATTTTTCTAAATTCATAAGAGTCAACTAGAGACGATCTGCTGAAAAGTCGGTGAAAAAGGCAGGATGTTGTATTACGTCACTATCTCTCATGATTTGCAAATCTAAATACTTAGTACAAGAATACAATCATGTTTAAAAAGCCATTGGAAAGTTTACTTGTTCCAAAGGCAATATTTATAAATCTTTGTATGAACATATCAAGAATGGACCACATTTTTCCCATTCGATTGAAACTATCAACAAAAGGTGCCAAACGTCAGCTCTAATTATTTCCCTGTTTACATTCCAAACACTAACTTCAAATATTTGGATCAAACCGTCCATATGGTCTAATATTTACAAAAAATCTGTGTTTATTGTGCTTCATCATGTATTTGTGTGTACAATGAGTGTGAAAATAATCACCGCATGGTAATCGCTTAATCGCCATTATAAACATTCAAATCGATGACAGATACACGACAATTACATGGTACGGTGGACCAGATTATCTTGAACCGCGGTGGAATATGGAACTACCTCTAGTCATAGAGAATTGGATCAACTGTTCTTAAAAGTAAGTTTGTTTAGAGTCATCTGGAGAAAAAGTGAGTTCTCATAATAAATAATAAATAAATAAATAATAATAATTATAGTATATAGTCATGATAATTATATAAAATATCAGTTTACTGTTAAGGACTCATTTTTAGTTAGAATGTTTTTAAAAAACGATAAAAGTATTATGCATATGAACGAATTCTATTTCAATATAAATTTTATGGTGTTCATAACAAGCAGCGCCACGTGGAGGGTTCAATTTATTCTGGTCGTGCGTACAATGTGTTGTTGCATATGTAATCAGTTTTACAAGTCAAACAGGCTAGCCTAAATGTAGAAAGCTAATTACTTCGCCTAACTGTCAGCTTGGGCTTTGTAAGTACTGTATTGTAAGCTGCTCAAGGGCTTGGCTTAGTTAAGCTGTTCGGTGCTTCAGTGCAACTTTGAATTGAGTTATTAGCTCAAGCTCGGAATTAGCATGTTTGATTTTAGTCTCCATGCCTTAAACGTACACATATTATGCTTGGTTCAATTATTTCTGTATTGTATGTTAGGTAGGACCTAAGTATAAATGGGTTTTTAAAAAAAATCTCAGTAGTAGCATTGAGTCTGGATTTGTGCCCGGTATATGGCAATAGGCTTATCCTCTATTACATGGGACTCAAAATATACATAGTGAAAAGTGTATGTTACATTGTACCAGTAAAGAGATATTAACCTACCTTGTTAGGAACAAATTGTAATAAATAGGAATGTTTTAGTAAGGAGAAAGAGCTCAACCAACTAAATTTTATGAAATAGGTACTTTTATATGTATGTATGTATGTATGTTTGCTTACTGTTCACTAAGTTACAATTTGCAAATTATAAGGAAATAATATATCATATAAGCACACTCCTTATGTTCTTGGAACAATATTATAATTATGTATGCATCAAGCAAATAAATTCCACACTGCATTTTTAAACCCAACCTACCTATTCTCATTATAATTAAATATGTCTTGTCTATTTTAAGCGCCGAATTCAGATTGTAGTACCAAGAATTCGCGTGGGTTTGTATTACATAAGAAGAGAATTAAAATCATCTAATTTGTTATTCAAAAATGGTACCTAATCAATCAGTATTCAACATAGATGTTATGAAAATGAACCTGCCAGCTCGAGATAGTTACATTTTTAATTTATTCTGTACAATGTTTGTCAACAACTTTCATGAACTAGATTTTGTGGCTGTGGATGTATTTTGGTTACAGAATACTTTATCTGTTATACTCAGACATATTTAATGATTACTTAAATTAATTATTCCTTAGTAACGATTTTGTTGCATTGAGTAAATGACTATTGCGTACTGTGGTATGTTTTAAAGACTGCAACAAAAGCATGCTGAAGTTAACAAAGAATGGAACTAAAAAAAGTATCTACCATAATTAACTAGATTGCAAACATGAATGCTTTTCTTTCCTAGTTCTTCCTATTTGTTTGTATTAATTCTTTGAGTACCGTCATTATAGACACAATTAAAGAACAATAGATTGTGGTCACCGGTGTCCTCGCGGTGTTTGACAGTTTAAGTCGAGTAATGTATCTTTTAATTTAGTTTTGTATGCTAACTGTAAGAAGCCTGCACTTTTCTTTTGTTTGTGTTCATCTTTCAAGGTTTTCTATTACGATATTAAAACCAATTAATGTTTCTATAATGACTTTATTACCATTTCTAATTAATATGTTTATTTATTCCTAGATCTTTTGACGACGGATCACAGCGACGTGTTCGAGGATAGTAGTTCTAGTTCATTTTCGCAATTGCTGTTCGATGTCGCAAGGGACCAAGTTATAGTGGGCGCAAGGTGAGTTCCCAAATCTATTTGTGTCTAGACCTTAATCCAACCTGTCTACTAAATTACTAATACTTGATTTAGTTAAGCAAGGTGTAGGAAAACGGACAAATAGAAATGTTGATAAATTTTTTATCGTATTTGTTGTTGCAACGGCTTAGACTTGGATTTGATAAAGTGCAGCTTTAGCGGTCATTGGTCTTAATGACTATTAAAATCGTAGTTGATTAATTCCAAATGCAATTTTTACGTAGGACTAAATATTATTGCTGAGTTTTGTTACCTATTGAAATTTCTTCAACTGGTGTTAAGTCATGTGAAACATAGTCTTGATGTTGTTATGATGATAAATAGTTGACACTATAAATGGACAAAAGAGTCTTCAGTCTGTACCGATTTGATTACTTAACTTTAGAGAATGACATACATGACTTTTTTATCATCATGAACAACAGCTTTCTCTGCATCAGATGATTTGTCTTAATTTCCAAGCTGGGAAGGCTTCAAGCTACCAGGCGCGTTGGAGTTGGACCAGAGAGCGTTGTTGCCCGGTCGTTACAAATGTGACGCTTATGATACGACACCCGTCGGAAGAGACGTCGTCTGACGTCATCACACTATACTGGATGCGACGTCAATAGTTTCGATAGAACTTTCCATCAGTATTATAAAGATGTGATAAAACCGAGGGCACGATGATCATTAGCATCTCTATTTCGAGTTCAATTAAACAAAATGCATTAATACGATAGTTGAACTTGAATCCCAAAGAGTTCATCATATAGTTATTAACTTCCAAGACGTTATAGTTTGCAATAATTAAAGTCAGTTATAAACATTTTATAGGGTCTCATAATTAACACATGATTATCGCTGGTGTAAATTTTATAGAACTGTTTATGAATATTCTGTTTAAGTATAAGAACTCGCTTGATGCGTTGAAGTCGGGGTGCCATAAACCTATGTACGAGTTTATGGGTTCTATGGCTTCAAATGGGTCTAGGTCATAAATTGGGAGTGGTTTTCTTATGACAGCTATTTAAATTTTAATTGGGAAATAGTGGGAAAATTATATGTAGGGGCTTACAAAGTCGTGAGTGTTTAATTCAGATTCTTTAGGAAAGGTCGTTTATAGCACAAACGTTTTTAAAAGTAATAATTAGTACTAAATATTCTTAACTTTTCTATTACGTAACGTCTTCAACTTAAAAAAAAGTCTATGCAACCTTTAAAGCCGGATTCTTCTGGCCGAGTCACACAAAAGGTTCCAGAGATTGCATTATCTCGCTCTAACGCGTTTAAAGGGTGCATTGTTAGTTGGGGTAGCTGTCAGATTTTTTGTAAAGGCATCTGGTTTCAAACAAGCTCTTTTAAAATTTGGTTTATGGTGTATATTTTTAAAATGATGACCTAAAATGTTTGTAGCTATTTCTTCAGGAATAACCGTCACCAAACTGGTTGGATTGAGCCGCGGAGGACTTAACAAGTTGCCGGAGCTCCGGCTTAAAGTGCAGGAGTACGATTTTTTTTTAAGGGGGGAAAATCATCGAATGACTTCTCCCGCCTAGGTGAGGCGGGAGGGAGTGGCAAACTCTTACTGACTAAAAACCACCCCGTTCCTTCTCCTGCACGTCGAGCCGGAGCCCCGGTAGGAGTAGCAATTGGGTGGTTTTTAGTCAGTAAGAGCCTGATACTCCCCGTCACCCGGGCGGGAGAAGTCACTGAAAGATTTTCACATCTCAAAAAAAAAACTGGTTGGATGATGTTTGGTTTTAATACTTTCTACCGCAACAACCGCTAAACATAGAAAGAGAACGAAAAAACAATATTAAAGTCCCTTAAAACTCAATTTTTCATCTTACATCGTTAGAATATAGGCATTAGGACGTGTATTTATTAGTCTTAGTCGGTCTGTTTATACTGAACAGAATATACAGGTTTTCAACAAGGTATAGACAGTCGTTTATACACTGATAAAGACTATATCGCGATGAAAATAACTTATAACCCGTATCTGTATAGTTTAGCTTGTAAAGTTGTAATGCAGGTTGATATTTTGCGGGGGTGTCATAATCTTAAACCCATTGATATAGTTTATCTGTGATGAGGAATGGACTATGAATACATAGTGTTTTACCAGGCTCACAACAAGCTTATTATACTTACTATATTTATGTTTATATCTAGGATGAAAATGAAGAGGATGCCGAAAGAGAAGATAGGTAAAAGATATGAAAGGAAAGTTCAAACTTATTTCAATTATGTCATAAACTGATTCTTTTGAAACGTCAAAATATAAATACATAATAGTCTATCAGTCTGTCCTTCAGTAAAGCTTGGTGCTGGTTCCAAAATGTAGATTCGAATGAAGAAGAACGAGTAAGAATCTCTACTGTTTAAAAAAATATATTTTAAAATCTCTCTGATACAATATCCTGTAGTTCTTGATGCCCTATCAGGCACATGTCTGGCAGGGGAAAATGAATAGAGAACATTGTAAAATCCACAAATAACCCAATTCCATCGTTAATCCAACTAAAACCTCACACCAATAAAAAAAAAACAAAAATAAAAAGACGGAACATTTATAAATCATTAAAAGAACGTTATCGTAAGTCATAACAGCTTTTTAATGTGATAACACTGCTTACCCAAAGTTGTTTAAACATCAAGTCATTCACCTGTTAGCTTATGATAGACAACGTTATCAGTAACCAAGACCGGCCGGGTACCCAACTCCTGGAGAAACAGTTTTAATTAATAATTTTAATGTAATTTTTATTATGTTCTCTGAGAGTTGTTATCGAGTATTCGATAATACTGTTTCCAGAATCAAAATGTTGCCGGATTTCTTTTGCATCGATATTTCAATTCATCAGCTAGCTTCTGCAAGCATATTCGCCCTGGTTCCCGGGCTAAAAATTATCCTATATTGAATTTCGGACTTTAATCTATCTCTGTCCCAAATTTCATCGAAATCCGTCCAGTAGAAAGAGTAACAAATAAATAACATATTGTATCCATGCATCCTCATAAACTTTCGCATCTATAATATCAGTAGAAAGTAGGAGGAAATGGACGTTTGTGTCATGGAAATCTTAATTTTCAATTCTAAAGGCTTGGATAAGGGATAGAATAAAAGTCTCAATTTGCTATTGGTTCGAAAATTTGTTTCAGAGATCACAAGTTTTCATTAAATCCATTTTTAATATTCATTTCTCAGAAAACAGAAGTGAAGTTTTGTGCACTGTCTTTGATGAAAAATTACAGTCGATACTTGCACACCTAATAAACAGTTTAAAAAAAAACCTTATCACAAATAGCAAAAGGTTGCCAATTATGTAACTATATACATGACTGAGCATACTAACACCATCTATATTGCATTCTAGCTAAATGTTGAGTCAGAATGTGTCAGTTTTATGTAATGAAACGTGATAAACATACATTAAACGTAATTAGAGTATCTATCCCACATCGTTTACTTCGAAACTGAATCGATAGTGCCAATAAACATGGCACATTATTGCGATCTTATTACATTATCGAGCACTAATTAGTATAAACAATTAGGTATGCAACGAGAAGTGTAACGTTATACAGATACGGGTTGGTTACGGGTAAGTTCTTTCAAGTAATTATAACACTTTCTGTTAGTGTTATGAAATGTATGTAAATGTCGACTTAAGTTTCAACTTTCTTGAATAGTAAATGTGTTAATTAAATTGAAAAAATCTTTAAGTAAACTGGGTAAATTCCGCTAGTCGTCACTTGTCATCTCCTCGTGTTCCATAAGCGATAGAAGAGAGAAGAATGAGAAGGACCCGTGAGAATTTTTCACGTGTGGGCCGAAATGATTAAATCTATTGTAGAGGAAAGATGCCAATTCTTCTGCGTATAATACTGGACAGTATACTAATATTTCATTATTATTAATATATTATTATTATTAAGCTATACGGTCATAAAATCTAATTAGAGGAAGACGGCACTAGCATTAAAGGATCCTAAAATTAATACTTCAACACCAAATTTAGTCGAAATCCTGATTCATGGCAGCAATCCATCAGAATCACCTCGCCCACGATCCTCATTGAAACCAATTTCAGGTTCTACCGTGCCTAATTCTTAAACCATAAATCCGGCCGCGGTTTTCGAAATCAAGGTCGACTAAAGATTCATTGATCCTGCTCAAGTACAGTTATTATCTACAAGTTGATCTTAAAATTGTAATAGTATAAGTAGTTATTTTACATTGCAAAGATCTCAAACCCGGTACCTAACTTGTTTTCCTTGTAGGGATAGGTATATTCTAGGTCTTCTTTGAGATTCTTGATCTAGAAACACTTAATTTTCATACGGGTTTGGTCTGGGGAAATTCTTAGTTAAATAGGATATATTTAACTTAGATAAATGTATAAGTTGAAACTACAACAGAAGTTGCAATGTGAATACGGAAATAATTTCTTCTGCAGTACAATAACAAATCTGAAATAGTTTTATGCATTGTGTATTGTGACTGCGTACTTTATTTGTTTCTCAGTATTTAAAACATTGTCGAACATAAAATACCGAAAATACCATATAGACACCTCGAATTCACAGTAAATCCTCTTTATATTTACCTAAAAATATACAAAACTAGAAGGAATTCCTTAGCATATCATGACCCACTATTCCTAATTACTCGTGTGAAATGAAAGTCGAGAGCAGTTCATCATTATCTGGTCTTAAGTTCTTAACTGACGAATGTTAACTAAGTGTTATTACGAATGTTTATTAACACTCACACTTAGGTAGGTGCGTATAATCTTTAGTTATATGGATTCAGTTCAACGGTTAGGGCTGTCGAACACATCCAGAAAATTTGTTCGGGAATATTTCTTTTCTGATGTAGTAACTACATCAGAAAAGAAGTTAGGTTAGTTAGTTAGTTAGTTAGGAATATTTCTACGAATTTTGTCTAAAAAGGAAGCGGTGAGATGAAAGTTGAAGGTCACGGTTTTAAAAACAATGTAAGGCTAGTAATACTACATTTTAATAATTAAGGGCCATTCTTAATCTGACCGATGTATCAGTCAGTGCATTTGGCTCCAAGGGAAAGATACTTTTAGTAGCTTGATATAACAGCATGGTTATTTTGGAGTTGGAATTGGTGTGCTGGTATTTCAAATTGGTTTTCAAGTTCAAAGGATACTTACTGGAACCAAACTTAAAGGTCCCAGTATTACATCAGCTTTAAACATATCTGAAGCTGCGGCAGACTTAACGGGTTGCCGGGCTCTGGCTCAAAGAAGTAGAAACAGGGTGGGTTTTAGTCAACAACACTCCTCTGGTGTTGCGGGTCTCCATGGGCGGTGCTAATCGCTTACTATCAGGTGATTCGCATGCTCGTTTACCTCCTATTCCATAAAAAATAAGAGTATGCCACTATATCGTGCTTCACAACACAACACAAGGCGGGAGGAAACAATAAATGATTGTTCCTCGCTTATAGAAAAAAAAAAATGTCCCAATATTCTATTAGATTCAAAGATAGCCCTAAGACGCAGCGGTACTGATCAAACGCCAGGAAGTGCTAGTGTTTGCCACATAGTATGTCAATATATGCCGTGAACATTTGGCTGAGCTATTAAACTCATTTGTTTGTTCATATGCCTCACAAACATGGATCAAGGCACGCGTCTACCCGTAGTACCGAAATGTGTGAAGTTTATTGTGTATACAAGCTTTAATGGTGCAGTTCTAATTTATTTTTGTTGGTGTCTGGCATGATCTCTGTAATTAGCAGGTGCAACTTTTTATGTCTAGGGTTTATAAAGACTCGTAACAACAAAAATATTAAAAGAACTTTATCGAAAAAGGTTAGCCACTTCTTAAATAAAATGACCAAAATTGAAACCTTCATGTCAAAGCCACGTAATATAATTAATCAAACATCATTATTCGTCCAATGAAAACAAACAAACATAAAGTTATTCACCTGATTGTCTAATTACGAAATTGCTCTCAAACCAGTCCGATACATGACCGTACTCGATACATAAATAATATCGATACCGTTCCTATCGGTAACGCTATCGATTACAACGGCGTACCATTGATATTCGATCCCGCGGCAATCGACTCGATATACGGTTACATACATGTGTTCCGATTTATTCCAACTACCGCTTGTGTAACGATTTATATTTCCTAGATAATTATAATTGGATCTAGGTGATTGGATTACGGATTTTTTGAATGCAAGCGAAAATGCAATATGGCGGATAAGCACTGGCTTTAGAAACGAAACGACGCCGTGCAGTCTACGTGTTGTTCAGATAAAAAACTCAATGTCGTTTTTTTAGATAACTGTATTGGTATTACTATACAGATTATTATAATTTATTGCCCTTTAAAATATTTCAAGGCTACATCGTACGCACGTTGCTATCTGATTGCCATCATAATTGGATTTATGAGATTAATATTTGCATTGTGTTGTATCTATGGTTGTCAAGCCTTTGCACATTTGATCTTTACAGTTAATCTCTATTGTGGGATTAATGATTGTTGGATAACATGCTGGCTGTAGAGAAAATATTTATTGAGTAGTTCATAGTTGCAGTCAGTAGTTAAGATATTAGTCTCATATAGGTAGTTGTTCAATATCGATAGAAAAATAAGGCAAAAATTCAAACTTCCTACTCAAACAGATAATTTCTGAATAATTCAATTGAAACGCACTATAGTTTTCCGGCATCCGTCGGATACATAATCTCTTTTTTATGTCAAAGTCACCAGTTAAAAACTTCCGACCACTTGACAACTTCCTAGTTTTCAGAGTATTTTATAAATACACATTAATTATAGGCCGATATACTTCCATTATTGCAATATTAAACTCTAACAGTTTGCAGAAATTCATACTTTTCTTCTTGTCTACACTAGTGAATCGTAGGTTAATGCAACTATTTTTCTTTTTCCCAGGGATGCTCTCTACCGATTATCTCTTCGAGGCCTTGGAGTGTTGGAACGAGCTGACTGGCTGGCTCCCTCCAGTAAGATAAAGCTGTGTCAGATGAAGGGACAAACTGAGGAGGATTGCCACAATTACATCAAGGTCCTCCTGCTGCATGGTCATAAGCTGTTCGCTTGTGGAACACACGCGTTTAGTCCTGTCTGCAGCTGGCGTGAGGTATGTCAAACTCCTTGAGTAACATAGAACATAATAGTAAAGAAATAAAGTTTATAATTGGAAAATCGCAATAGCTTGCAGCAACGGCTTCCTAATACTGACCTTTTAACCAGTTTCGATTAAAATGCATACAGACAGCTAGTTACCTAATGTCAAAGTTTAAATTAATGAAAATTCAAAAGATGGCTTTTGTTATTTTTATGTAGTCACTTTATATACTTTGGACAGAAGTCCTCCTGCGATCTGCTCATACAAACACCAAAATATGTTGAAGCTCAGCTTCAGTTCAGCACAGCATTAAAACGTTACCGCGTTTAGCACTCCGATTGGTTGGTTAACTTGGATCAGCCAATCAGAGTGTCGAACGTCATAAATGATGATGAATGAATGTCGATCGCGTTAACGTGAAACAAAATCGCATAAAACACTCAGATTTTCGAAGGGCTTGAACACAAAACTGCGATGCGACGTCGCATCGCAAAAATGTGCGAGCTAGAACTTGCGAATCGATCGCGCATCAAAATCTTATGTTCCCAAAATCTTTTTTGTTTCTTTTTCCTTTTTCTATTAAGCAATAACAAAAGCACACTTCTTTTTACGATCCATTTCACGACCTAGTTATCAAATTAAAATACGTTTAGTACGGTTGACGGTCGTCGAAGAAATGGTCACCCTGGGAGACGCCTCACGAAATCGCATTGCAGCAATTTGCATCGTAATTTTCTGCGTTGCGAAGGCGCATCGCACCACATCGGAGTTTCGTGTACGAGCCCTAATCAACGTCTATTCGAATTATTATTTAAAACAGATATATCTTTTACTTTGTCTAACTGGTAACCGGTATTTTGTCGAGGAGAACCTAACGGGTTACCGGGGCTCCGGCTCGACGTGCAGGAGAAGGAACGGGGTGGTTTATAGTCAGTAAGAGTCTGACACTCCCTCCCGCCTCACTCAGACGGGAGCAGTCATTCGATGATTCTCCCCCCTTAAAAAAAACCGGTATTTTAGGAGTTAAATGTTAAGGACGCGTTTACGAATTGACGCGCTTCAATTTTAGGTATTGAGTCTTACTACTACACGTGCATGTCACACACACACAGCGAAATGCGCGAAGCGGCGAAATTATGTGTAAACTGACACGACTTGATACTTGAGTTATTTTTATTTAATTTTGCAATGTTTTTTTTAAGTTAACTTTGATTTGGTTTGTAACGTGAAATGGTTACAAAAGTATATTATATGTATACTTTTGTAACCATTTTCATTAGTAATCACTTCATGGATTTCAGTAATCATTCAAAGATAAAATATTTTTAAATAATTATATTTGTGTTATTAAATAAAAGAAAAATGATCCTCAAGTCAGCACGATTTCGTCAATTTTGTGTGAAGAGGCAACAGAAATTATTTTTTACAATATTATAAACCAAAATTATCAAATAAAAAACTACTACCATTTGAAGATTAAGAAGTAATCTATCTGTGGTCATTTTTAGTTACATTTGATTCTATATTATTTTGCCGCAAAAACCACCGAAAAACTGCTTATTTTTGTTAGATTCGTAAACGCGTCCTTAAGCTATTGCGCTAAAATTGTGTTTGTTTTTGTAAGGCTTGCTGCCGTAAAGTTTGTATGCTAAGAATATTTGAATATTGAAATCGACTTTGTATGTGGACATACAAAAGATGTTTATACAACACTTTCGATGTTAATGCGAAGCCAAGTTTGTATATCTCGAAACCTTTTTGAAATTAATTGAACGCGGAGATTTGATTTGGAAAATTGGTTTTGACGAGTCAATTTAACTGCCTCGTTGGCCGAGTAGTCGCAATCGCAAGTGCGACTGCCGGGCAAGAGGTCTCGGGTTCGACTCCCAAGTCGGGCAAAGTATTACTGGTTTTAAAAAAAAATCTCAGTAGTAGCACGAAATCTGTAATTTGTGCCCGGTATATGGCAATAGACTCACCCCCTAGGCCTATTACATGGGACTCATAACGTAATAGTGAAAAGTGGTTGTTACATTAACTGCCGTAATGTGCACGCCTGCCAACCAGTTCAGGGATAAAAGGCTTGATGTTATGTGTTAATATAAGTGATTTTTATTATTTTTCTTTTTTTACCGATTGCTAACTGAGTTGGACCAAGCTGTAATCTGTTTTGTTTTATTTTGTAAGAATTTGTTAACAGTTTAGTGATGTTACTCAAATTATGTTACACTACACCTATTGTTGGTTACACGTGTATTGGTCATGTACAGACGGCTACACATCGAGCTTTACATAACCAGTATAAACTGAACGTTAAATCTGTGGAAAGATGATGCAACGCGAGGACAGGATATACTGGTTTTGTATAGGTTCATGTGTGGCCGTGTGTACATCTAATTCTATTGTGATTATCGTGGGAATTTTGTAGTAGTCGGAATACTCAAGTTAAATCACATATTATATTTTATTTCGTATATAAAGTCAAAGCGTTTATTTCAATTAAACCGTAATTTAAGCACTTTTGAAGCGTCAATAATTGAATTGTCCGTCTGTGAATCTAGCCGCATTGATTTAACACTGAAAGTTTTGATGTCGCTCAAGAATTATCACTGCAAAATCAAAGCGCACGTGCAATTCAATTCTTGAAATACTTAAGCCTGATGTCACGCGGTCATGCCGGAATAGAACCCGTGACACCTTGTACGTCAGCTGGTTGCCCATCCACCGCATCAACCGTGCTATCAATAAACAACACTAATGATTTCTCTTCTTCAACAGATCGAGTCAATAAAAACAGTGACGGAATGGGCGACTGGAGTAGCGAGCTGCCCGTACAACCCTCATTCCAATGTGACTGCGATACTGGCTTCCAACGGGGAGTACTATGCTGGAACCCCCACCGACTTCGCTAGTTCTGACACCGCTATATGCAGGTAAATGAAGACTTTATGAGGAGGAGATAGAGATTATTTTAAAATACCTTTGTACTAGTACTCGTTTTGAAGGTGAATATAAACTTAATTCAGAGGAGATAGAATATACTTTAAAGTGTGGGAGAGCCATGCTTCGGCACGAATGGGCCGGTTCGACCGGAGTGATACCACGGACTCACAGAAACCGACGTTAAGCAACGCTTGCGTTGTGTGATTGAGGTTACCGGAGGCCCAATTACCCTCCCCTTCCCCCAATCTCCCCAATACCTGAATACCCAACGATCCTCAAACTCCTAATCCCCAAAAGGCCGGTAACGCACTTGTAACGCCTCTGGTGTTCCAGGTGTTAATAGGCGACACCGATTGCTTACCATCAGGTGATCCGTCTGCTCCTTTACCGGCTTATGCTATAAAAAAATATTTTATGATAACAATAGGAAGTATTAACCTGGTGTTAGTTGTATAAGAATATCTTAGAGTTTGGACTGTTAACTTCTATATTATTATGTATTTATAGTTCGTGCCTACACATTGCACATCACATCACATCACATCAAATCAACAGCCTATAAGTAGCCATTACTGACCAAAGGTCTCTTCTCATGGAGAAGGTTCAAGCGGGTTGGCAATTTCAAACTAATAATTAGAAATTATAAGTCCAGAGGTTTCCTCACGATGTTTTCCTTCACCGTTGATCAGTGGCGTCTAAATAATCTTAGAAAGCACATAATTATGACTCCGAAATGTCACATGAGTACTTGCCGTGGGTAGGTTTCGAACCGGCACCCTCGTGCATGACAAAGGGACGTGTTAAACCTCCGGGCTACCAGGGCATACATTGCACAAGCACCTATAATATGAATGTGTGCTAAAACCTCTTGAACTATATACATATACCTAATGTTTTGTGTTAAAGTATCTTGAATTGCGTATCACTTTACTATTTTCAATCATTTATACAAATATTACAAAACTCATACTAAACCATATTTCTAGCTACTAATAAATAAATGATACCTAGATACTAGTGACATGGTGCACCGTTCCAATTTGATATCGATTACGGGTCAGCGATTTATTGCTTTATATCGATTCTCGTCCTTGTATCGGTCGTGTCAATATTTGTTATCTGTTCTCACAATCCAAGTAGGTTTGATTAGATTGACTCCACCTTTACTTCATTATAGTGTTAGATATTAAATTAAGATTTCATTTTTGATTGGTTCATTACATTTATGTTTTAGTAGGTCAACTCGTTGAGATATGTTTGAATGTTAACGTTTCAATCATGTTGTTTAAAATAGAACGTAAATTATTTTTATATTAAAGCATAAATCACCTTTTAATCATAATAAAATTGCTGAATATTTCTGAATTTTGAACGCACCTGTGACTTCTCTGGTGTTGCGGGTGTCCATGGGCGGCGCTGATCGCTTACCGATCGATCAGGTGATGCGTCTACTCGTTTGCCTCCTATTCCATAAAAAAAAATAAGCAATTAATGATGTCTGAATCTGTTCAGCAGTGTAACACATCGGAGTTCACATGAAATATTTATTTAGGTACATATTTTGAACGAATGGATGTGCAGTTTTTTTTAAGTGGTGATAATTTGTTATCAACTGTTATCAACCTGTAGGAGCCAGGGAGCAGCCAGCCACGACTCGGGCATGCTGCGCACTACCCAGTACGACCTGAACTGGCTGAACGAGCCACAGTTCGTGGGCAGCTTCGAAGACGACCAGTTCGTGTACTTCGTGTTCAGAGAAGTCGCTGTGGAGTTCATGAATTGTGGGAAGGTAGGCGTCTATACTATTGTAGAGAAATTAACTAGAAATAATCGAAATGTTCAGAAAAGAGCGATTTTGTGAAGTAATCAATGGATTTGTAACTTCGTTGGTGTATCAGATGTCTATTGGAGGCGTTGTAAGAGCCATCAGACTACCACAGATGGGGCCCAACAGGGCCGATGCCGATTCGGAGTCTCAGAGAACCAAACGGGTTACCGGGTCTCCGACTCGACGTGCAGGAAAAGGAACGGGGTGGTTTTTAGTTAGTAAGAGTCTGACACTCCCTCTCGCCTCACCCAGGCGGGAGCATTCATTCGATGATTTACCTCCCTTAAAAAAAAATGGGTGGCGCTGATTGCTAAGAATCAGGTGATCTCTCTACTCATTTTACTCCTAGGCAATTCAAAAATAAACCTCTTGTCCATTTTTTATATGCGTATTATAAATCATAGAATACCACAAGATGTGATCAAACCACAGTAAATGAACTGTATTTATGAAGAGGATGTGGTCACAGGTCACATACCGTAAAAGCTAACTACAGTAACGTCCAACATACTGCTGAATGTCCCAAAGAAGGCGACAGATTGTAGTATAAAAGGGGGAAAATTATACCAGCAAAAGAGCTTAAAAGATTGAGATAGTAGTAAAGCAGGAGTTTCTTTGTGAAAGTGTAACAGTTAGTCTGTTCTTACAGATTTTATGTGTGAATATGTTTACAAGAACGTAATTTAATGATGACCAGATGTCTTCGTCAGTTTGTAGCTTAGTCCCCATGTGTTTACTTCAGTAAAACTTACGCAATAAATAAAGCGACTGGTTTTTAACACAGAACATTTTTAAAAGACTTCAGACTCTCTGCAAATCCAGATTTTCTAAAGTAAGAAATACTAAGTTTAGCAAATTCATAGCGGATAAGTTACATTTTTTTATGGGATAAGCCGGTAAACGAATCGACGGATCACCTGATTGTAAGCAATCGCTGTCGTCAATGGTCACCTGGAGCACCAGAGGTGTTACAAGTGCGTAACCGGCCTTTTCGGGATTAGGAATTTGAGGATTGCTGGAGCTTCAGGGGAGATTGGGGAAGAGAGTAATTGGGCCGGTAACCTCACTCACACGACGAAACACAACGCAAGCGTTGTTTCACGTCGGTTTTCTGTGAGGCCGTGGTATAACTCTGGTCGAGCCGGTCCATTCGTGCCGGTTAGCATGACTCTCCCACATTTAAATACTTACCTTACCTACCATTCAAACCAAAACACTCCAAAACAAAAGCCTGCTAATTATTCCCCTTATTAGGTACTTCAGAAGTACAGATCCTATTGCCCAATCCATCCGTTTGATTGGCCGTTGACAACATGCTCTTTCGAAACACCAGTCATTGATCTCCCAGTGTTTATATATTTATTGTCTCAGTAACGACGGTTCGAAGTCCCTAGTTTTACTGGGTTAATTCAGAGGGCCTAGCGCGAGTTTATTTATGACGTTCGGCCTTCTGATTGGCCTGTTTCAGTTGATCAAACAATGAGAGAGCCAAACGCGGTAACATTTGAATCGCTTTAACAAAAAAATATCAGGCTAGACCCTCTGGGTTTAAAAAAAATTCGGTTACAAGTGTCAACAGTACAACTATTAACTTTTATTAGTTCGCTGTTTATATGATCTGATTGAGCGGTTTATAAGTGAGGTCGTTATTTAAAGGAATTGGGTAATGGATTGTGTGACTACTATTCGTGGTAGTTATTAAAGTTTTCTGGTATTTTATATAATGGGGTTCGACTGTTACACTTAAAAGTTGTCTGCAGAATCTCATGAAAAATTAGTCTATTGGATTATTTTGACACTTTACCAGAATTTGAACTGTTACAATTAAGAAGTCTAGGTAATTTTCTAGGCGTAATATAAGCAAAGCATTCCACTTATGTTATTTGCATTTAACTTAAATCATTTCAGATTTCTCATAACAAAACGTCACGTGTTTTAAGAATGTCTTAAATAGTAAGCAGACGTTCACATTTTTATCTGATTTATTATAATAATAAAACCCATCTCCATTGTGCCTGTACCCAAGTACCTACCATACGAAGGTACTTTAGGGTCCCTCCTAGTCCCTCGCATGATAATAAACAGTATCTCGTCACTCCGGAAGAGGTTATGACCCTCATTATGTCGACACTGCCAATTTGCCAATTGTCTCCCTATTTATATGATCTATATCAATTTTATTGTTTTTGAAAAACTAGGTCAGGTGTACTGATGGACTGTGTGACCATGTCATGTAGTATTTTTATGGGATAAGTAATTGACTCATAATAATATTGATGTGGTAATGAATGATCTTGATGTAATGATGAATTATTAATCAATGAATGATCGTAACGATATTGTATAGAAAGATAATATTCTGAATTTCACTAACAATCCAAGAGATTCCAGATTTAATTCTAGGTGACTAGACACTTTAAACCCTGGTAAGTTAGGGACAAGCAGCGTTTGTTTTATTCAAATTATGTCATAATGACCAATTTTTAAGGCTGGGATATAAAAATCAATTTTCTCTTCCAGATAATCTACTCCCGTATCGCCAGAGTGTGTAAGAACGATCCAGGTGGCTACTTGGTGATGAAGGACAGTTGGAGCACGTTCCTCAAGGCTCGGCTGAAGTGCTCAGTGCCTGGAGACGTTCCCTTCAACTATGATGAGGTGCAGAGTGTGGAGTACTTGCCGCAGGAGAAGATACTCGTTGCTACGTTCACTACACCTACGTAAGATTATTTTATTTTGTTTATTACTGACCGAGTTACCGGTTGTGTTGTTTAAACAGTGATTATGTGTCTCGTCGGCAATACACAATAATTAATTTCTTCTCGATTTCTATCTGTAATAATAAAGTGGATTGAAAATGCATCAGGTTTCACAATTTCGGTCCTGTCGCTGATTGCTACTTCAGATTTCTTACTTTCAAATGTGTGGCAAGCTTTTCCCAGATGAATCTGACCCTTTCGTGGTATCTGTATTTCTTAGACGCCTTTGATTTCTAAAAACAAACTCGTTTGACCTCTGATTTTAGATTTTTACGCATAAATTGACACTCTATTTATATTCCTTTTGGATTCACATTATAGGTAAATCCAATGTTCATTATACAAACAAAATATTCTCGTTTACAGGAACAGTATAGTCGGCAGTGCAGTATGTGTGTACAGTATGTCGGACATCACCGCGGCGTTCGAAGGTCCGTACAAGGTACAGGACAGACCCACTTCCACATGGGAACCACGGTCGCCTTCTAAACAGGCTAGAGACCATTTCAAATGTGTGCCGGATTCTAGGTAAGAAGTTTTTATGGAAACTCTTTGAATAAATGTGATTTTATTGTACTGAAATGAATATATTAAGAAATGTTACAATAACAACTATTAAAGATTTTTTAACCGTAGAAGCGTTCCAGATACATAATAATACTTATAATAAAATCGTAGGAAAGTGAAAACTGTCGAATAATTTTTTAAAAGAATGCTTGGGCATGATCTAACATCGATACCAAAGCCAAACATTATGATTATTTTAACTTTACTGTGACCAGCAATTTTTATTTGCATTTAAAGTTAAATTAAAATCGCACTCACTTCTCCTTTAACCTCAAAAACGCGAATATCTCAGAAGCAAACAATCTAATTAAAAATAATGTTTCCTCTAATCTTTCAAGAAACTAAAAATTCGTAATCTATTACAGAATAAACGAAGCCATAGAATACCACCGCTACCACCTAATGTATGAAGCAGTCCAACCAGTCTCAGGAGAACCAATCTTCAAGCTAACGTCAGAAAGATTCACCCATCTCACCGTTGACGTCACGAGTGCAAAGAATATTGAAAAGCAATTGGTACTCTATGTGGCGACTCAGGAGTCTAACGTGCTGAAGTTGGCTGTACTGCCGAAGTTGGATGGCGCGTGTTTGGTTGAGAGGTGGAACCTTAATAACAAGAATAATAGCTTTGAGGTTCTCACCATGCAGTTCGTTAAGGATACTGTGAGTAGATTTTTGTTATATCAGCAAGGATGTTGAAAGATATCAGTTTGTTAAGTTTCATATACGAAATGAGGTTTCTGTCTACTAATTCGGCATTAAACATTTAGGCTATTTTCTTTATTACATAAGTCGGTAGAGGACGTTATACTTGTAGCTAACTAATAGCATAATTGCAACTTAAGATAGGTCTTTGGTTGCCATACAAGTTAACGAATCCATCTATACTTTTCTTCCAGATGTCAATCTACATAGGCGGTAGATCAGGTATATACCGCATCTCAGGGGCACGTTGCACCCGCTACACGAGTAGGTCAGGCTGTGTGCTGGCCGGGGACCCGCACTGTGGCTGGGACGACGCGCGCGAGATCTGTGTCGCGGCCGCAGGGAGGATTGGGGACCCTGCCTTCAAACAGGATACTAGCGCTTGTCCAGCTATTGATGCTCCAGGTTCGTTTGAAATATTTTTTATGTTATTAGCGTCTAAAGCATGTATAAAAAGATTGATAAAGTGAAAGAAGAATGTGAGAATCGTGTTATTTGGTGTTCTATGGTCTCTATGTATGATGAGATGAGACAGCGTGATGATATCTATGTATTACTGCAGTAAACTGCAACTTGATCATCCCTAATTTCGTGAAACTCTGAACTCGAAAAAGGTTGAATGTATATCACCATTACTAAAACGATACTTCATTAGATTTATCGTACATGCTAAGTTAAGATCATCTGTCATTCCTTGGTTAAATGTGACTAGGCTATGTATGTAAGTATTATTGCAATTTGACTGACCTCTTTCAATGTCCCCAGTGGACGGTGGTTGGTCGAGCTGGTCGCAGTGGGAGCCGTGCATGCAGGACGGCACGTCGCAGTCGCTGTACGACGACAACAAGCCAGACATGTGCCACTGTCGGACCAGGCGCTGTGACAACCCTAGACCGGCCTACGGCGGACAAGCCTGTGATGGTATGTATCATTTAATTTATACTTATTGTAAAAACTTTCCTCTTTAAGTCTCGAAGACTTATTATTAACATTTTGCTAAAAATTGATACATCTTAAATGTACTTAACGTTTGCCTCTTCAATTAAACAATAGTTGTCAATGTAGACCAAGTATATTTAGACACTATTGACACAATGTATGGTGAAAGAAAACATCTTAAGGAAACCAGTATTTCTATCATTTCTAATAAAATATAATAAAATTTGAAATCGCCAATCCACCCTTAGTCACCATGTTGATTGTGACTAATCATAAATAAATAAAGGCTTTTGCTCAGTAATGGACACTTGTAGACACTTGTAGGCTGTTGATGACAATAACAATAACAATAACCTCTATCTTCCCCCAGGCGCCAGTATATCAGTGACAAACTGCACCGTCCACGGCGGGTGGTCGAGTTGGTCGGGTTGGTCGAAGTGCTCGGCGTCGTGTGGCATCGCCATCAAGTCCCGGCGCCGCACGTGTACGTCGCCAGAACCTAAGTTTGGAGGCAGAGTCTGTGTCGGACTCGATATTGATGATGTCTACTGCAATCTGCCACCCTGTCCTGGTTAGTATTGTTGAGTTGAAATTCGATTGATTATAAGTAAAGAACAGTATTTTGTTTATGTTTTCGAAGATTTTAGTTTGGAAGGGTAGTCGCTACCTAAAGACTTAAAACATTTTATCCCCTTGTTGAGTGTGAATCTGTTCTTTGTCATAAAAAGTACTCAATATCGTTTTTTAAACAGTTCAGCACAAAGTCTTTAACTAGATTTAACTGAATTCAATATGCAATTACAGGCACTTGAAAGAACGATACCAATGTATGTGTTTTTCACATTCTTATTTATACTTTCAGACCCAAATCTCGCAGCCGTAGATGGTGGCTGGTCAGACTGGGGTCCTTGGTCTACTTGTACAGCATCGGGTGGTCCTGGATGTGGTCCCTCTGGAGGGTGGAAGGAAAGACACAGGGAGTGTAACAACCCCACACCTAAAAACGGAGGATCTGACTGTGAGGGACTGACTACTGAGAGACAAGCCTGTGATATGGCACCCTGTGAGGTCAGGAAGGCCACTGCATGGACACCTTGGGTCCAGATACCTGGTAAGTACGCAAACGCAGTCTTATAATAATAATGTTCTTGTTAAAACAGTGAAAATGGGACTTATTTCCAACAGTTATTTTTGATTCATTAAAATATTAAATATTTTTTTAAGGATATAAAAGCTAAATAATTTCAAAGGCGTTTTGCCAGCTTATTTAACATTTAAACAGATATTGGACTGATCAAAATTCATAATGTTACTTGGTTATTCACAGGCAATGGATCAGATGGAAGTTACACAGAAAAGAGATTCAAGTTCCAATGCAGAGCTCCATCTCCCGAGCAACTGAAGGTATGCACAATTTTCTTAGCAAATTTACTTGTTTTTAAACTCAGTGGCGTAATTATACCGATGAAGGCACGAGGTAATGGCATCGAAGTGGAAGCCTAACAAATATTAAAAATTTAGTTTAGATGATAATCTCTGAACGGAGGCCCCTTCCAGCTGTAGTGTAGTTACGCCACTGTTTAAAACATATTTCTATAAAATTACCAGTATTTGGTAAACGACTGTTGCCGTCAACGTACTAACTGTAAAGTTCATTTATAAACCTTATTAATTAGTTACTGTAATATCCTATTTTCCATCCACCAGCTCTCAATGGTCCGCGAAGACGAACGCTACTGTAACTCCCGCGGCCGCTGTAGTAGTGAGCCTATATCTGACAACGAGGTCGGCTGGGAGGCCTGGGGGGCCTGGGAGGCATGCTCCGTCTCCTGCGGAGGGGGGCATCAGAGGAGGACTAGGAGGTGTCTCAAACATGGACAGTGTCACGGACCTAGTGAGATGCTGCAGGCTTGTAATAAGCTGGCTTGTACCGGTAAGTTTACTTATTGATATGAGTGAGTAGAAGTTTTAGAACATGACAAATAGCATAACGATACTTCATATTATTTAATTTTTATACCCAAAGGCTAGGTATACATCATGTACAATATAAGACACAATTTTCACCTGTTCTGTTCTATATTCTCAGTATAATTCCCAATTCTGTGTTATTTTCAAGAATATTAATAAGGTCAGAGCCCAAGACATTATTGTGTTTCAGATCTGCTAGGATATTCTGTAAGGTGTCAATTCAAACTCAAAGTGGCCGTCATTGGTCGAGATTATACTTTCAACCAATGACATGACGGACCGCGATTGAGTTCACGTCTTGAGTTCGAATTGACATCATACATAATAGCAGGGCTTGATGAATGTTTCTTTGTAAACACACTTACGAGTACGACACAGAAAAGTAGTCTTATTTTCAAATGAATATGTGTCAGTCCCAGTCTAATCCCACACCATGTTTACCAGGAGAGTGGTCATGTTGGAGTGAGTGGAGCGAGTGTCGCGGCGAGTGCGCGGCGGACGCCAGTAGCGCGGCGGGCCACCGCACGCGCGCGCGCTCGTGTCTGTCGCCCGAGGGCTGCGCCGGGGACGGGGACGAGTGGGCCGCGCTGGAACGACGCGTCTGTGTCAAGAATTGTGCAGGTATACTACATTTTGTGTACATATTGTTAAACTAGTATAGCTTCTTCCAGTGGAATACATCAACCGTTACCAGACTAAAATATAATCTCTGTACCAATTGAAAGAGTAACAAACATACATTATCTAAATGTTTCGCATTAATAATGTAGGTACGGATTGATAGCCTAAGATCCCAAGACTTAGACTTTCTGAACCATGTAGAAAACTGATTAATTGGACTAATCATAGGATTAGTCCAATAATAATATTTAGCAAATAGTTGCGAATTACCATATAAAACTGTTGTTTTTTGTTTGTTTTGAAATTGAAGTCTATGGCTTAAAATTTGGACGATCTTTCTAACATTAAGTGAACATACACTAAAAATGCCTTAGGATGAAACTGTATTCTTGGTTAAACTTATTATAAAACAAAATAGGCCACCTGTAATGACTGTTGTAGAGATTCATATAACTGAGATACGGATTAATGTATTGTCTGGAGCTCTATATTAAAATCTCCATAAAAACTTTTATAAAAACACTAACATATAATTATTCCATTAGGCTCAGAAGCGGGCTGGGGTGAATGGGGACCTTGGGGAGACTGTACAGGCGGGGAGCGGATCAGAAAGCGAGCATGTCTGGCCGGGGCATGTCTAGGGGCACAGCTGCAGGTCGCTAGGTGCTCTGATGATAACCAGGATATTGACAATGGTATGTCATTTTTGAGTAAGAAATTGATATTTGTAAATGGTGTGTTTATAAGAAAACAAATTAGGTATCAATACGACTTGTACGCTGGTTGGTTTCATATTGAATGTCAGTCAATCCATTATAGTTAAAATTGAAAATAAGGTGTACTGTCACTGGAAACGTATATGTATACAGTCACTGGGAAAGTATGCTGTTGCCTAGATAATATTGCGTATCAGACTGCGGAACATCTTTGAATTTTAATATAATATGAATTCAGCTTAGATTTTTGCCTCCTTTCCCTAAATATTGTATATATTGTAACATTAAAACTACATATTATTTATGTAAATATGGTTTCCATCAAAAGTACAGTACATACAGTCTCCTAACAAAACTACATTTTCAACAGAACTGTACGCGATGCCAGCTTACAGCCAAAACGTAGAGATGGCCTCATTCGTCACTATGGGCAACAATGAGACTCTCAGTATTGGCAGTATCATAGGCTGCGTCGTTGGAGCCTTTGCCATGGGTGAGTTTTAATTTACTACGCAGTTCCACCGCGTGGTCATAGATGGCGCTGTACTAAAATGTGTTGCGATTCAATGTTATATTTTGATTTTTTATGGTTTTCTTTTATAATTTTTTTTATTTCTTATTAAAAATTAGTAAATTAGAGTTTTATCTACAGTTGTTAAAGATATATTTGTTAGATTTTCATGGTTTTATAGATTGTTTAATGAAAAGTTCTAAATCGCGTAAGTAAAGTTTTCATCGAAGTTAGTACACTCGTATAATTTCGACAAATTTTGTCGTGTCTATTGAAAGGAGAGACGGTTAGCACTCCCCTTGACAAGGATGGAACACACAAAATTGGTTAAGGCACAACTTGACCACATTTTTTTTTATTCTTTTTGTTATTTATTTTCGTATTTTAATTTGTTATTTTTTTTTAATTACCGTTGTTTTTTTGATATTGGAAATGTAGTTGCGGAACTTCCGGTCCGATTTGAAAAAATATTTTTGTAGTGGATAGTGCATTTACCCAGGAAGGCTATTATAGACCATAGAAACATCACGCTGCGACCAATAGGAACTGAGCAGAGCGGGAATAGCAAGTAATATATTTTTTTAAACAACAGGTTGTCTAGTCTGCCTGGCGGGTGTAATATTCTGTCAGCGGCGCGGCACTAGGATGCCGTGGAACAAGCAACACCGCGTGCCTTCCAGCCCGCACTATATTACTGCCAAACAAAACAGCTACGTCACTGTGCCGCTCAAAGAAGTAGTAAGTTGCTTATTTTCATTTTTTTTAACCTATGAAGTGACGGAACGTAGATCTAAGCGAGACATAATGTTCTTGTCTCCTATATCGATAGATAAGAGGTTGATAAGGTTTAAAATTCAGTAATATTTAGGGAACAGAGAGTTCCTGGAGTGGAGTAAAGATCGGAAAAAGAGGATCCTCCGACCAGGCGAGGTGATCGTGCCTGGCGGGCTTTCTGCCCAACAGTTGTTTGTTGGGATTTTCTATCCATGTTAATTCGCATGTTAACTTTACATAGGCGATGTAGGATTTTTGTGACGTCATCCGTAGATTTGTTTTTCAACGATAGCCGTTGATCTATCCGCCTGACGTCAGTCTCCTGGATGAATGTCAAGGCTTTTAGGGATTACCCATTGGCTAAATAATTAGCATTATTTTTACTCTGAATAAATTCAAATTCAAATTCAAATCGTTTATTGCGAATATAGGTGAAGTGTGTTGATGTTACAGTACTAGTTATTATAAAATAATTTGATCAGCTACATTCTGCCATTTAGCATGCAATAATTATTGTGAAAATTACAATTTAAGTTACCATTTCTAACATCATACTCTCATTCACAGCCGCGGAAAGCGAAACGACAACCATCTTTTACGGGCATCGGCAGTACTAGTGGTCTCCTGTTATCGAAAAGCAACAACATATCAAACGCGAACAACCACAACACAGCGGCTACGACTCCCAAACTCTACCCGAAAGCCATCGCGAACGAGTACGATTCCCTCGGCACTTTACGAAGACATTCGAACCAACCAAACAACAAAAACAACTTAGATATCGAAGAAGACAAGTTTTATTGAACAAAGGTATGGATTTTTCAACTTTAATTTGAAAGTAATAGAGCTCTTTTCAGTATGATGAAGAATAGTTTAACAACGTTGTCGAAGGAATTTCAACTTTAACCTGAAGTGAACAGAGCTCATTTTCCCATGATGTTGTTTTTGTTCATCGTTGCAGCACTGATTAAAGCTTACGACTTGTACTTGTGATACAGTAATTTCAACTTCAAACTTCAAGAAACAAAGCTCATTTTGCAATGACGCATCAGTGAGATGCTTGACTAGAAAAGACAAGGAGTTTTGAACTTTATAGTGATGTTAATAAGGTTGGATATACTTTATTAATTAATTCGAAGAGGCTGGTGTTAGTGCGGTTGTGTTTAAAGCCTGTGATAGAATAAATGGTGTTTGAAATAAAAGTAGGTATGGACAAGAAAAAAACTATTTTTTGAATAAATGGCGACTATTTTGGTTCTTGTTTGTGTAGAATAAAGAGTGTTTTACGAACTGCCAATAGTATATAAATACGTGCTAATATTTTTATGTTGACTCAGTTTACATGCGCATGCGCAAAGTTAATCACCCAGTTTGATGAAAGCACATTGAATTACTTATAAATTTCTTTTATTGCATTTTTTTAATATCTGATATTTAAGTGTATTTCAATGTGTTTGTGTGTGTACTTAATATTATACTTATTTCATTATATTGCCCAAACTATAGTTCCTCGCCGATTTAATGGAATCTCTTCATGAAAAAGTAGTTTTCAGTTATTATAAAGTTATTCCTATAATGAAATGCGTGTATTGGATCCCTCCAAATTATTTTGTAATTATTGTTTATAGAAATGAAATGAATTTTTAAGACATGTATAGTTTCGTACTATTCATTTGTTAAAATAATAATTTGTATTATATTTTTCGTGATATCTATAATTTCGTTGCAGCTGTCATTTAAAAATGTTGCCAGAATGTATAATGAATTTTAATTTTGCATTTTATTCCGTTTATTGTTATATTTTCTATATTTTATATTAAAGTATTATATTTTATTCAAAGGTTTTGACAAACTGTTAAAAATGTTGAACATTTTTGACAACAAACTCGAGTATGAGTGTGTATTAAATGACTATTTAATCTGTGGTTAATATTTCCGTTGTTGTGATTGGCTGGAAGAGCTATGTGACGTTTACCCACAGATTAAAAAGAATAGAAGTTTAAAAGGCCACATTATTTGTATTTTGTAAAAAGAAATGTTAGTTTATTTAGTTATTTTTTTTAAATTATAGGCTGTAGGTAACGAATCCAGTGCCATGCTACTAAAACATGTAAAAATAATTAAATCCCAGTATATTTTAGTTTTAATAAAAGGAGTTTGTACGACAAAACAAAAGTTTGTGCCATGTAAATAAGTAGATAGTAATATTAATTGAATTGTAAATATAATGTAGTTTTATAATTAAGAAAATTTTATATATTAAGCAGTACAAATAGCGGTGCCTTCACACAATATTTTACATAGAAAAAGTATACAGATTGCATATTTACACTATATTTCAAATAGATAACTATTTACTACGTAAAATAATTATATTTTTATCACAGAAACATGTGTAGGTAACGTTGTAAAACTGGTTGTAAAGGAAAATGTACGGTATTCTATGAGCAGGAAAGATTAATTTTATTTGAGTGTGACTATTTCCTTTACAACTTGTTACGGTTGAAAATAATTTCGACATTGAAACGACTCATGTTGAGTCATTAGTAAAGTGTGGGTTAATATTGCTTGTATGGGATTTTTTACTTTTATAATATACCTTTTTCAATGGTAGATTGTTAAGCCTCGTTTACAGTTATAATTTTGGCTAGTGACTGGCTTGAGCACTGGTATGACTTTATAAGTGTGAACGAGGCTTCATCTTGTGTGTGCAACACATTATTTCATTTTCATTCATGTTTGTTTTGTTATTGATACGCCAATAATGTGGACAGTGATCAGACAGTTTTACTAGATTTAAATGTTGCGAGACAATACTAATATTTACTATGTTAGTTGCAAGATCCGTTAATCACTGTCGAGTTATAATTAAAGTCTAAATTATCTACAAAACTCATTCAATAGAAGCATACTGTAACAGCAACAAATACACTATTCTATAAAGAAACTATCGTAACACTCAATTAACTCGTCGAGTACCGTCATTACAGACACAATTATAGAACAATAGGTTGCGGTCACCGGTGACCGCTTGGTGTTTGACAGTCTAAGGAAATAAGGAACTTTGAAAAATACTGTCCAAGTAAAACTGTCAAGTCACTCGGCCGATTCTAAACGGGGCACAATACGTCTATATTTTATGTATAGTTTCACATAGCATTAGCTATAAATGTACCATGATTGATGGCTTCTGAAGGTCAAGACTGATGGGACCGTAATATTATATGACAGCGTTTCTCAAACATTCTACCATGGCCCAGTAATCTATTATTATCTTTCGTGGTTAAAATTATTCAATTAGATTTGATTTATATATTTTTACGGCTTACTTACGTCCCTGTTTGTCTGGTATGTGGACTAGTTTCGTCCAATGCTGTGCATGAATATGAGCCCTTATCATAACTTGAATTTAATCTTGTTATTTTGTCAGTTTGTTCTATTCACTATGAGGCTCGCGAAAGTAATATAACATACGATGAGATTCATAAGACTGCCTCGTTGGCCGATTGGTCGCAAGTGCGACTGCCGGGCAAGCGGTCTCGGGTTCGATTCCCGGGTCGGGCAAAGTATAACCGAATTTGAAAAAAAATCTCAATGGTAGCACGGAGTTTGGAAATGTGGCCGGTATATGGCAATAAGCCCTATTACATGGAACTCTAACATAAATAGTGAAAAGTGGGTGGCACTTCTGTGTGCACCTCTACCTGACCCTTCGGGGTTAAAAGGCGTGATGTTATATGTGTTGATAAGATTCCATTCTAATAGTATAAAGTTCTCGTATATTGAAGTTGTAAAACGTAAAATTTAGGAGTTGTATTAGTACTTAGTTGCATCGATAATAATTAGTAGAGAACCCGGTATTTTATTATGACGGCCCGGTGTTTGGGTAACGCTGTTTATGACATTATTGTTTGTTAAGAGACAACCTTGGTTATTGTTCTACTAATAGAACAAAATTGTTTCTACAACGAGTTTTAATGATAGTAGATATGAGTGTGTTTTGTTTATCATATTGAGATTGTTTTCGTTCTGGTGTTATTGTAGGACAATGGAGGTGTTTCAACTACCATGTAGTGCTGAGATGAAAAAATGTATCAATTTTTACAATATTGTCTAAAATTGTGTGTACTACACGCTAGAATGACTTGATCTCTCAAACGTGATAAAAGGATACACAAGCTTCATGATCATACGTAGGTATTAGTTTACCATAGCAAACACTAGCAAATCAAGTTCATTTCTTCATTGTTTTACAGACCATAAATAAATACGGACTCTAAACCCAAAAGCATCAAAATTACAAACATAAACTCCTCCAAACAAAACTTATCGTTAATTAAAACTATGGACAAAGTTGTTATATAACTATAAGATTATCGGTCCCAAAGTCCCAGGTCAAAATAGTTAGGAATCGGCCCTAGTTTCCCATTATCGCTGTTGAATGTCGCTTGATGACAATACAATGAATTTCACTTAGCAATGTAATTTGTGACCGACCCGATTTGTGTAATCCTATTCAAACTTCGTATTTGATTTATAAATGCCAGAATATTCTGAGTAAAATAATGCAAAATAATATTTAAATTCAGTTACTAAAGTATATTTTTCAAATATTGAATACCAGACTGAAAATTTGAACTCGAAAAATCTGTTTCGTCATCTGTAACTAACACAGTTTAAATACTAAGATTGCTGGCACGAGAATTTCTTTGAACAATCTTGAGTTAAGCCAATAATTGTAGAGATTTCTATATAAATAAAAGCTAAGATTCATCGTTGCATTTATTCATTGCTTTTGTCGAAGAAAAATCAGTACAAAGAGAAAATGTGCGAGTTTTCTTAACGATATTATACGTTCTTTGCTTTATTCAGTCGGAAATCTTGAAGATTGCCCGCCATATTGCGTTGGGAGTGAAATTCATTGTACCTAGTTTGACTTTAGACACAGCCAATATAACTTGACCTCTCTGACGTCAGCTGTGTAATGAGACGGTGTTAAGTTTATACAAGCGAATGTCGGAATGGTACGATTATAGCGAAGTTCAGACAGATCAAGTTATGTTGGTTCTGCATTCAAACATGGCGGTATACAATATCGCTTTAGCGAGCGAAAAATACCGCTGTCATTTACGAAATTTTTTTTTGTGTTTAAACATACTTAATTTAGGTTTCATAAAATGTTATCATATCATTATATTTCTAAGAGGCTTTTTTATCTCAATAACTCACCGATTCATGTCTAAATCTTAGAGATTACCTATTCTTGTGATTTGTAACGTTGAAGCCTTAGTTATGTGTATTCCTAAATGTTTAATTATGTAAAATGTTTATATAAGACGCTGTACATTGTTATTAAGCTAAATAAAATAACAATAAAGACTGTCACATATTGATAAAATTTTGTTTTATTTACCTGAGTAAATCGATTACATTTTTACCAGATAAAGTTCTGACGTCTCGTTATCTGTCACATCGGACGCCCTCTAAACCTGACTTGATTGAAGACGTACTTAGTTAATGAAAGATGATACGATACATTTTACATTCTTCCATCATTTTAAGCAAACAATTCTTGGTAAAGTTACAAAGAAAACAAACATGTTTATTGGATAATCTGTTAATATTAATCATTTCTTCGATATCAAATACAATTTTCAGATGTTTATTCTGATAGTCTCGTTGAGTTCTGATAACGAGCTTCATACATTTTAATGAGGAGTTTCTGCTTACCTGTTTATGCTCAACTAAGGCAAAGCATACAAAAATAATTGGAACAAACTGGAACAACTTGGAAAAAAATATGGAATCTATGTACCTAAATAAAAAAGAATTCCCGTTCGTTAATCTCGCTAAAACTCTAGAATGGCTGAACCGATTTGGTAAATTTTTGTCTTCAAATGTTCGTGGAAGTCCAGGGAGGGTTAAAAGGTGAGAAAAATATTTTTAGGCGGTACGAAGTTTGCCGGGTCAGCTAGATACTCTTAATATCAAAGTGGACGAAACACTGGTGGGAAAAAATTGCTACCCAATTTTAACTAGGAAACTGCGTTTTATAGCGAAATAACTAATATACACTAGGTACTAATTATAAAGAATTTTATAACAACATTTACGAACCATAAACTAGCTCGCCATGTGTACAATAGTTTCGGTAGAGTAGACAATGTTTTGTCACTGATTTTACAATTTAATTCGTCGAGTACCGGTTTTGTAGACACAATTATAGAACAATAGGTTGCGGTCACCGGTGACCGCTTGGTGTTTGACAGTTTAAACAATATCTCAAAAACTAGAGAGCTTAAAAATGACGTCATTTTCATAACCCTCATAGACGCACACCCCCTAAAGGACATTAGCTATTTGAAGGACGAGGTCGGAGTGACCTTGGACTAGAATGGTCATTGATAAAATGTCAAACCTATTTTAACATACTAGGGATTAACTAAAAAAGGCGAGTTACTCACGTGAATATACTGAGAAAAGCTCTACTAGTTTCGAACCACAGAGGGGTTCTTCCTCATGAGCACCGTGCGCGGTCGCGGCGATGTCGCGTAGGCTGCGCGACATCGCCTCGACATAATTTAGTATGTCTCACGATAGTTATTATAAAAACAAAACGATGGATTCATTATATACATAATTGTAATCTTTAAAGAATTCTTCGAATAGTTTTTATGAATTGGCGCAATGCTTATCGAGAGACGAATGGAAGGCTGTTCTGCTCTCCATAGCGTGGTTTTTGCTGAAAGTAATCGCCTCTTGGAAATGCATGTCTCTTAAAACTCAACTTTTCCGGCGAACCCCTAGATTCTCCCGAATAAATTTTGGTGTTCCAGAAATATTGGAAATTCGCTCCTAAATTCTTAAGCCATACATATATTGAGCAAACATTCCGGATTACCTGCGTCTTCGCTGGGAACACGAAGTGACATGTGCGCTCATTAGTCCCTTAGACAGCGTGACACGATATTAGGCAGCGAACGTGATCGGTATGCAAATTATACGACACGTTGTTTACTTTTATCTTACGTAAAGTAGCTATAGTAGGCGTTAAAAATATATGGAATTATAGGTATATCTGATCATATTTTCATTTCATTATTATATTCTTCAACCATCAATAGTATTCTTAAAGAGGTTATGGTTCTAGGGAGGTGGTAAAATTCTGATATTCTTTAGTTATGACTTACTTGGCCGAGTGGTCGCAAATGCGACTGCCGGGCAAGGGGTCTTGGGTTTGATTCCAGGTTCAGGTAAAGTATTACCTGAACCTAGAAAAAAAAATCCTAGTAGTAGCACGGAGTCTGGAGTTGTGCCCGGTATACGGCAATAGACTCACCCCCTATTACATGGGATTTATAACATTAATAGTGAAAAGTGGGTGTTACATTGTACAGTGGCAGTACCGTTATGTGCACCTCTATCCCTTCGGGGATAATAGGCGTGGTATATGATAGTTTAGTTCTAGAATAAGATCAGACTTATGCTAACCTGTCTTGATCATTACGAGTAGGTCGTCAAGATATTGAGCCTCATCCAGTCAGACTTGACACAAGTCTTACTTATAAAACATTCTAAGAAGTGGAATTTTTTGCCAGAGTCTTTGTTCCTGAAGGGTATAACCTGGGTGTCTTCAAGGTCCGAGTGAATAGGTTGCTTATTGCCAGACGTGTTCCATGGTAGGCCGCATCATCGCTTCCCACCAGGCGAGATAGTCACCAATCGTCGGAAAAACAAATATAAAAAAAGTCTTTCATTCATTCATTCATTCATTTATTTTGTTTGCGTACCATAAAGTGAATAAGCTGTTACAAATAAGCTTAAGTCTTCGAGTGAAGATGTTGTCTAAAAACTATACTCAATGTCTGTATCAATACCTGAAATTTGTCTATTTGGCCAAAAAGCAAAAATAACATCAATTATTATATACCCAAGTGACTTTGTAAGCGTAATATCAATTTCGAGCAATTTCCCCCATTCGAGCGTCTTATTCTCGACCCAATTTAGATTATGGACCAATAATATCGCAGTTCCCTCGGACGATTACGGGAAGTGATTACAATGGAACACTATTATCTTTTACTGAAATAGTTTTATTGTTGTCAATAAAGTTTTTGCTGATTTTACGAAAATGTTGTTAACCCGTGTTGTGTTAACCCGTTAAAATTGTTGAAAATAATCCCCTAAATTTGTTCATACAAAAGTAGTCTCCTAACATTGGAAATAAGGTCTATAATGTAGTTAGAAAAGACCGGTCACCGGTGACCGCTTGGGGATATACGGGTTTGGATGTCATACTAAAAATTAATTACAATATGGTCTTTGCAGTATATAGCTAAAATGCTAGTTTAATTGAAATAAACGGTTTTGCCACGTGGGTTTACTCTTGAATATGAGCCCCAGTGTGTCTTGAAACTAGTTGAATTTTTCTCGAACAGTTCACGTGTGTGAACTGTAGGGATATTTTAATTAAGGGAGATACACCTCTTCCTAGAGATGTGCCGTAAAGGGCGTTAGGTACACCGTGGGGTTTTGGAGCAGGTATATTATAGAGGATAGATTCGGTGCCCCTTATAGGTGATGGGATGGTTTTAGTGAGGTAGGAATCCCACACTCCCTAGTTTCATCTCCACAAAAAAACTAGACACCATTTGAAGATTTCCCCTGTTATGAGAAAAACGTATATTTTATCGGAAAACTTTTGAATATTATTTCTATGATTTCTTTCTATCTTTTATCTATTTTCTAAATTCAAATACATGCATCTCTTACTTACAAAGTAGTACACGGCCATTTTTTGAACATTTCTCTAAATAGATACCGCAACAATTTATACAAAACAAAGAATTTGACACAAAGAATACTAGTAAGAATAATTAACAGTTCAATTTCAAAGTACTGGAACCAAGGAACATGCCTTGAAGGAGCCACGATCATCGCTGATGAGTGACGTAGTACGTATTCTATGGCGTCTGCTGCTCGAACCGGCGCAGACGCTGGTGCGTCAAATATTGCGGTGCGCAGGCGATGCATGTTGGTGCGGTAGCTGAAAGGAAATAAGTTTTAGATTATTTTGTTTGGTATTTTAATTGTGTCTTCTAAGATAAAATTGAAACCTTGAAATATATAGATTAACTTATGAAGGTCATAAGTAATCTGAAAAAAACTGTCTTTGATGACAGTGACTACACCCATAGGATTTTAAGACCTAACTGATTTCAGAAATAATTTTAGCTCAGCGGCTTAGACAATAGAAAAAGAAAGAAATAAAATAAATTTTATTTTACACGCTAAAAAACAAGACACATAGATACAATGTTCATGTCCCGAGTCTGAGGTGAAATGGGATCAGTTCAGCATGTGCACGACAGGGCGTTGCGCTGGTACTCTACTGGCCTCTTAAACTGTCAAACACCGCGAGGACATTGGTAACCGTAACCTATTGTTCTTTAATTGTGTCTATAATGACGGTACTCATACGGAGAGGAGCTGTGAATCACTGTTACAAGTGTGGGAGAGCCATGGTTCGGCACGAATGGGCTGGCTCGACCGGAGTGATACCACGGCCTCACAGAAAACCGACGTGAAGCAACGCTTGCGTTGTGTTTCGTCGTGTGAGTGAGGTTACCAGAGGCCCAATTACCCTCCCCTTCCCCAATCTCCCCAATCCCTGAATCCCCAACGATCCTCAAACTCCTAATCCTTAAAAGGCCGGTAAAGCACTTGTAACGCCTCTGATGTTCCAGGTGTCCATGGGTGACGCCGATTGCTTTCCATCAGGTGATCCGTATGCTCGTTTACCGGCTTATGCCATAAAAAAAAACACGCGGATGAAGTCGTGGGCACAGCTAGTTGTAAATATTTTTCTAATTTACCTTTGATTTTTCATAGTAAACTCAATAATGTTTTTCAGCTCTTCATCTCCTATCGTCTCCAAGTCGACAGTGGCACCAACTTGATGATGTACCAACAGCTCAGCATTCCGCCACTGGTCTCCTGACTGCGGCAGACCGAGCACTGGTACCGCAGCTGCTATAGCCTCGTCGATAGACTGCTGGCCACACTGGCTTATAAAGAGTTTGATGTTCGGATGATCTGAAAAAAAAGAGAATATAGATAGGAACTCTAATATAATTATAATTATTTAAAAAACCAACTGCAACCCCCTCTTTTTTGAAGTCGCTTAAATAATATACTATAACCTACTAAGTGTAACGAACACTTCTAAAAAACCACATCGAAATCGGTTCAGGCAATCGCGATCTTATCGTGCACAAACGTACATACATACATACCTCCTTCTTTTTTTGAAGTCTGTTAATAAACCTCGCTTGCCATTATGTAAGAAAAAAAAATATATTAAAGGCGCGTTATATCATAACATTACGCCTTTTATCCCCGAAGAGGTATTCATTATCCACTGTACAATGTAACACCGACTCTTCACTATTTATGAGTCCCATGTAATAGGGGGTAAGCCTATTGCCATATACTGGGCACAATTCCAAACCCCGTGCTACTACTGTAATTTTTTTTAAAAACCCAGTAATACTTTGCCCGACCCGGGAATCGAATCCGAGACCCCTTGCCCGGCAGTCGCCCGTGAGTCCTTATTTTTTTTTTATGGCATGAGCCGGTAAACGAGCAGACGGATCACCTGATGATAGGCAATCGGCGTCGCCCATGGACACCTGGAACACCAGAGGCGTTACAAGTGCGTTGCCGGCCTTTTGGAGATTAGGAGTTTGAGGATCGTTGGGGATTCAGGAATTTGGGAGATTGGGGAAAGGGAGGGTAATTGGGCCTCCGGTAACCTCACTCACACGGCGAAACACAACGGAAGCGTTGCTTCACGTCGGTTTTCTGTGAGGCCGTGGTATCACTCTGGTCGAGTCGGCCCATTCGTGCCGAAGCATGGCTCTCCCACACTTATTAGGCCCTTATCCGAAAACTGTCCGAATGAAGCAAATATGCACTGAACACTGCTGATGACGTTGTTGATGGCATGAGCATTAAGTAAAGTTTACAATATTAGTAGTATTTTTACTAATGTGTAGTTAATTGCCTACAGTTTACCATCGGAGACAGAAAATCATACCAAACAATTCGGTGTAGGACTAACTAATTAAAACTTTAAATTTTCATCAGCACTTGGAACTTACTTAACAATGCTGCCTGAGGGAACCATTTCCCAAGTCTGATGTTGTATGGCAAATCTTTAATGTCTTCATCCCATTTCCAAATCACGGAGCAGGGTAGTTTGCTGAATACTCTAATCAGCTTGGTTTTCAAATGCTCAGGTATCATCGAGGGTCGGACGTTGGTGCCTTGGCTGACGAAGACCACACCGGCTGTTGATAGGTCCAAGATCTCCTCCAATTGCTAGGGAAAAGGAATCTTTTGTTGTTAACCATTTAAATAATTTTCTTAATTAGTTTTTGTCTAAAGGGTAAAGTAGTAGTAACAAATATGTAAGGTTTTTGGTCTTTAGTAGTATATACTAAGCTTCATAAGAGAGTTCGGCCTTTTAGGCAAGCCATTTCATCTTCACTGATTAACGATTAACTCTGACAAATAACTGTGAAAGATAAAATATAAGGATAAAATATTTATAAACAATTCCTTACCGGACTCATATGCATCGATTTATTTCTATCTAGCAAATGTGTTGCTCCTAGATGCACCACATTCTTAGGTACAGGACGAGCTCCTTGCCAAGCTGGATGTACATTGAATACAAGTAACTCTACTTTCTTCTTCTGCTCTTTTAATGGTGGCACATCACCAAAGAGTTTCTTCGCTAAAGCATCTTCTTCTATCTCCAGTTCATTCAACATAGAGTTCAATTTCCAATAATGATTCAGCTCCGAAATTTTCTGCCATAAGTTCTCATTCCACACATCACGTTGTAGGCTTGTGGGATACAGCAAAGGGTGCGTAGGGCCGCCTATGTCCGCGTAGTCATTGAATATTGAACCAAGAGAGCTGACAGAAATTACTGGAACATCGTAAATGTAACTCCAGAAGAGTGTCGGTCGAATCCAGGTCTCTAACAAAAGAAGATCAAAGGTCTCATTGTTGTTAATAAAAGATTTGATCTCTTTAGATTCAAATTGCTTTTCTACAACTTCAGTAGCAATTCTTAGAATATTTTTAAAGTCTTCATTTATAAAACTATCTTTAGTAGAAATGGTTTGAATGTATCTTTTCTCCCAAACTTCGTTTGTCACATTGGAGACATCGATTTCTGTCAGATTTTCTGGTGAATCTCCTTGTGGGTATTCTGGTAGTGGAGTGATGAGGACGATATCGTGTCCTCTATGAAGTAGCTCATGTATGATAGACCTATGAACACTCTGGTGACTTATAAGTGGCGTTGGAAAAACTGCTAGTATTCTTGAAGACTCTATTTGTACTAGTAAAGAAATACTTATGAAGATTGTTAAAATCATTTTTTTGTTTGAGACGTTTTTTTATAGCTCTTAATCCTATCACTTTCTGAACAAAACTGCAATTGATGTGGAGAGATAGTTATTAAGAAAAGTAAATATTGGCTTAGTCTTAGTAACAATATGTTTTTGTTATAACAAGTGTATGGAATATACATTTGCGTACATCTTCACTGTCATTGCATCTGTAGGTGAAAGGTTAATGGCCATGTGTTAAGTGTTATAGGTACCTATTGTTTATTAAATACTGTCCTATAAGTTTATTTGTACAGACACAATGAGCAAGGAGAAAAAAATATCATAATGTAAACATTACGAAGTTATAATATTGCCTAGTATGTAGGTACCTATTACCTACATAATGTTCTCAAAGCGTTCCATCAAGTTGTACAAAACCAGTATAAACTAACCGTTGGATGAATACAAAAATCATACAAAGGGAGGTCACAATAAAACGGTTATGTACGGTCAGCATCAAAAGTTGATGAACACATTTAGATTTTCAAAAACGCTGTACAAGACATAAACCTTAAATGTAACACAAGATAAATAATTATTTATTTCGGACGATTTTTGAAATCTAAATGTGTCCATCAAAGATGCTGATCGTACCCTTATACTATAAAATACGGTAAATAAATACATACTTCTGCATGCCTCTTTGAGAAAAACAAAGCGGAATGTTATGTTATTATGAATGCCCAACACAACTCGAGTAATTACTTTTACCAAAGAACGTGTGTTTTGGACATATTATTTGGTGGAAGGCGTTAATATAATAGAAAAGTTCCTTATATTTGTGTTGTTTGTGGCTCAAGGGCGCATTTCATAGAAATTCTATTAATAACATGTAATACGTTGCTTCGTTGGCCGAGTGGTCGCAAGTGCGACTGCTGGGCAAGGCGTCTCGGGTGCGTTCCCGGGTCGGGCAAAGTATTACTGGTTTTTTATAAATTCTCAGTAGTAACACGGAGTCTGAAAATGTGCCCGGTATATGGCAATAGGCTCGCCTCCTTTTACATGGTACTCATCACATACATAGAGAAAAGTGGGTGTTACATTATGCAATGACATTGAGTGCCGTAACGTGCACCTCTGCCTACCCCATCGGGAATAATAGGTATGATGTTATGTCGTGTCTTCTGAAAAAAATCAGGGGTGAAGCTATTGTATTTAAATAAATCTTCCAGTTAGTTGCTTTCGTATTTCAGTAAATGTGTTCAGACGTATTATAGTAGGTAATTTGATCATACGGGCCACTGTTTAGGGTTTTATAGGTGACATTTATAAATAGTAGAACTAAGTCTAGAATGTTAATAACGTATCATAAGGTGCATAAGGTGATGTTACGCATTTCAATGACTAAAGGGATAGGTACACTAGAAACCATTTTTTTTTCTTATCCTTTATTGCACTTTCAAGATGGCGCATCTTTCAATTATTCATTCGATTGATATAAAAACCGACTTCAAAAAACCGAAAACAAACAAATGGTAAAAACTAAAACGCAAAAAATAACTATATTATTAATACTGATAGGTTACCTACCCTGTACCCAATGATAGGTTAGAAGTCGGCGCCATATTACGTAATTATGGTGTGAGCATATTGGCCATACACTGGGCACAATAACAATACCTTGTCTGCACAAGGAGTGGAACACACGACTCATTGCTAAGTAGTCGTACTTGTAGAACTTCTGATAGAATAATTATTTACCACAAAAACAATACCTTCGTCCTACATTCGTGGTTGAAATGGTTACCTAATTCAAGTCTCGTATTTAACCCAGATTTACGTATTTGTACATGGTTTGCACGATTTCAATCACCGTCTCACCAGACAAAATTATATAATATTCTTTAATCATTGATAATATCTCGAACAGAGGTGAATGACATGCCAAGTAATACATCTAATCAAAACAAACCTATAAGCATACAGTTACATAAATAGATTACCTTAACTTATATCTTATTTTTCACATCAGACTTTTAATGATGACACGGTTTTAAGGCAAGGATACACTTGGGACCAATGTCGTACGACATGTATCGACGACATGTCAAACGATGTCGGCTGATTTCATTTGAGACACTTCTTGCAGCCACAGTTGCAAAAAGAAAGTTGTCAGTTTTGCTTCGTGTAGCCGTGGTTGCAAGGCGATGAAGTTTATTAATTTCATTTAGACTCTATACCCAACGCATAGAGTCGTAGTAGTATGTATTTAAACCAACGCAAAATATTTTTCACTTGTTTCACTTGCTATGGCGATAACACGTGAATTTTTTTTTATGGAATAGAAGGCAAACGAGCGGACGGATTACCTGATGATAAACGATTATTATGTTATGTTATGTTATATTAGATCATTATGTTAAGCGACAATTATGTTCACTGCGACGTTAATGTTCCCAATCATGTCGACCAAAGTCCGGCAACGTCGCACTACTTCACCCAACGTCTCTGGCGACACGTGTTGCAGGAGACTTGTACTCTAGTGTATCCTTAACTTTATACTTTGAAGATAGGTACTATCGGCAAAGTTCATCATAGTATAGTTTTTAAACAAAATCCTGTGGCAAACGCGCTATCCACCGTGCGTCCCTGTGGTCGCTTGCGCTGAGCGACAGTGAGTATCGCCTATTGATGGCAACCGCCAACTTTATCGATTGTACGTCTTCTAAAACACTTGATCTAAGAAGAATTCAAGCTGGGATGTAAGATGTTGATGTAACACATACTTTAGACAAAAAAGTAGGAGTCCTATATAATATAATAGTGGGCGAATCTGTTGACAATTTGCTATTAATCGGGCATAATTTTGGACTATGTACAGAACCAACAATACTTGGCCTGAAACAAGAGTCAAACCCTTTGCTCAGTAGTCTTAGGTACAAGTCATCACTAATGCAACGAGTCAGTCAAATAAATTCAAAGACTAACCAACAAACCAACCACAAATACGAAGATAGTTACATTTCCTTCCCCACAGTCTACAGTGAACGTAGGAACATTCTAGAACCTATGTCCCAAGATTTATTAGGACATCAACCTCTTTGGTTTTGATTTATACATTCACGGCGCGTCGCACAAGCGCCTTGAGCTTCCCTTGACGTTTAAATTTATATCCCCTTTCTTCCAGGTAGCTTAGAATTACTGTAATAGATCCAAGACGTGAAGTTTGTATTTAGACGGAAGGATTTTTAACTAAATGAGATTATGGATTAGTTACATTGAGTATGATATTAATTTTAACTGCCCCTACTTTTCTCTTTCTACCTCTAAATCGGATTTCGTAAGAATTGACTACACATTTTGACAGAACACAGACAACAGCTATTTCAGATTAACCTGAACCTTTTGAAGTTCTATTTCTAACCAAATCATTCTATCCACGGTTTAACTATAATATGAACTCCATTATAGTCCAACAGACTGTAATGCGAAGGGCTGTTGATGATGATAATAAATCATTAGAAGTTAATTTGCAAATATAGGCATTTATTTCAATAAATAAAAGCATTTGTCTAGACTCTAGACGGAGTGGCGATATTACTTACTACTCTTTAATATTAAATTTTACTCTTAAATTTTTTAAGTTCCTTAACCATTTTTGAAAACTTTCAGACCTTATTCCATGTAGGTAATACGTAGGTGTTACTATGATATATTTCAGTTAATTATTGTATATCCGTAGGGCTCTATCGTGTTGTATCCGCTTGGCCATAAGCCAGACATCATATCATCTGGCAGGCCGCCCAATTGGTGTTCAGCTGTAACGTCTACTTATTTATCATCGTCATCATTAACTGATGACATATTGTTGGTGTTTGGTGAGTAATCAGCTCGTCTCTTAGTACATAGAAACAGATAAGTAAGTAAGTAATGATTGACTCGACTTACCTAATTAATAGCAGTTTAAACCATACCTTTTAACCAAAGTTACTTTTTTTGATTTGGGAAAATCATCTAAAGGCTTTTCACCCGTCTTGGGTTAGGCGAGAGGGAGTGTCAGACTCTTACTGATTAAATTCTACCTAGTTTCGACTCCTGTTCTTCGAGACGAAGCCCCAGCAACCCGTTAGACCTTCCGCGGCTCCGTAATGGCCATCAGCCCTACTGGGCTCCATCTAAAAAATTCTAAGTACGGTCTTAAAATACAAAATTATTTTCAACTGTGCTACCAAATTCGTTTAACATCAAAGCTAAACACAACTTTACTAAGAACCTCTGTGGTATTATTTATAAGCAGCCCTTTTATCTTATTTATATTGAAATCAGTATAAAATAAATACATTTACTATGTAAAATATTTCGGTACAGACTGTCATATCTATTCAGCAGACGGTTATAGCAATAATAAAATACTTTAACACAATATTCAATGAATATTAACAATGTAAAGTAAATCTTATTGCGTTTGTCATAGGGTTGCCTCTATTTAGAAACTAGACTATATAAACTTTTTATATATACTAAATTTTAAATATACCTTAGGTACTCGTACGTGTACACATTAATGACTATTCCACCAAATAGTAAATAAACGATTACCTCGTTCGCCACGTGGTTGCAAGTGTAACTGCGGGGCAAGGGGTCTTGGATTTGATACCCGGAATGTTTAAAAAAATCTAAGTTATATTTGTACAGTGACATTTGTACAGTGGCATTAAGTGCCGTAATGTGCACATCTGCCTTTTCGGGAATAAAAGGCGTGATGTTATATTATGTTATTATGTAGTAAATAAAGGTTTTTTTTCTTTTCTTCAATGGCAATGGCATCAGAGTAATAAAGACTTTATTTCACTGCATTTAAAGCACTTTATGCTTTAAAATCGATAATCATCTCGTTCTGAACATTATCTAAGACTCAAGTATCAACCCTAATCTTTACACCAATGGCATCGTTCGCCACGTCTAGACCGATCCGCAGTAGCCCTTAACTTTTTATTGTTATTCTAACGTTTGAACTTACAATTTGTTCAATAACTATAAGTAAA